ATCTGATTAAAATAAAACCAATTTATTAAATTAATTAATAATATAATTCGAGTCATTTATTTTTATTATTTATTTAAAACACACTTGCAATGTCTAAACATTAATTTTTTTCCATATAAAAATACAAACATGTGGCGTAGCACAAGCCATATATATTAAAAGAATCAGGTTTGTATACATGTTTATAGTGTATGTAAGAAGTGAAAAACCCATCATACAGGCAAAGAAAGTGAGGCATAAACATAGCAATCATATGCTAGTATTTTTTAGACAAGTAAGCTGGACTTCATCGCATACCGAGCTATATTTTAAAAAAAAAACTTTAAAAGACAATGTAAAGACATTGCTAGTATGTTTTAAAAAATAAAATAAAAAATTTATTTCTTAGGTTATAGATCCTATTGGATCTAATAAATGGTTCCATCTAATTATATGATTAACAAAAAGCTATGACGATAAAAGAAAAGGTGAGCATGATGACAACAGTGAATGGGTAGGGTAACCTGGAATTAAAATAAAAAGATTAAAAAGAAACAGATATTAATAAAAAAGAATAAAAATTAAATTTAATATAAAAATTAAATAAAACTTAATGCTAATAAATAAAATTTAAATAAATTAATTTAAAAAGATTCAAGATAAAATAAAATGTAATAAAAAAATAATAACTAAACTTGATATAAGTAACAAATGAAAGACATTTCTAAATTTTGCAGGCGCTTAAGAGAAAAAAAGGACGAGAAGAAAATAAGGGTCACAAAAGCCTAATATTTGCGACTCTATGTAAATGCACTACACCACCTAGAATAGTACGGTGTGGTGCTTCCAACACCATTATAGAAGCTACTGTTTCATTGTCGTATGATGCCTTACACTTTATCTAAAAACTGCGAAAGCTAATTATCCTTTGGTATATGTGGTATAAACATTGACCTATTTATGATGTCTGTTTATCCCAGTTCTCATATATGTTTTAGTTTTAATTTTGATCCTTTAACACTTAGATATTGTTTGGAAGCGTGATGCAAACTGTGTTCCATAAAAATTAATTTTTTTGTTAAAAATTAATTTATTTTTTGTATATTTTGGATCATTTTGATGCACTGATTTTAAGAATAATTTTTTAAAAATAAAAAATATCATTTTGATGCATTTCAGTATGAAAAATACTTTGAAAAACAACCGCAATTACACTCTTAAACAAACATTTAATTGTCTTAATCTAGCCTAATTTTGAGTTTTTTTTTTATATAAACTTATGCATCAACCGACAAAAAAAAATGCTTTCAGTGTTGCTAAAACCTAATATTTAGGCAATCAAAATAAACTAGTAAGTCAAATCTTAAATAAAATCAATGTAAATAAATCAAAAAAATTTAAAAATATTAAGTATAAATTTTTTTTTATTTCCTTGACCATACAAAGCAGTCCATAATCTTAGCTAACAAAAGGGATTTGATATTTATTTCACTTTGAATGTGATCTATAAAGTTCTAATTTTTATCGATTAATAAAGCATCACAATATTTTTTTGACATTACGAGGCCCCTGGATATAGGCATTAAAGCAAATTACCACTATATTCTTAAAAAAATATAATGTTAAAGAATTAAATTAAAAAATCAAAGTGAAAAAATGTTCTGGGACAAAGAAAAAAAAAGGTTTTACTATGCGAATGAACATTTATAGAAGCCCCTCACAGCCTATGGTACATCACTGATCTCTGATGCCTTTTATTTTTTTTCTTTAAATTTAATTTATTTATTTATTAATTTTAATCTTAATGCTTAACTAGCCAAAGGGCATATGCTTCACATGTTCTTCCATGGATACCTAAGAGAAAAGTGAATGTCCTTCCGTGCATATGCTTCACATGTTCTTCCATGGATGGATACCTAAGAGAGAAGTGAATGTCCTTCCATCGATCGGGAATATCCATTTCTATTTCCCTCTGTACCCTTCACGATTCCTTCCAACAATAGAAATTATTGTCCCTCCCATAAACAACTACTAATCAATCGCGAAAACACACCCAAAATTCAACCAGCAAAAACCCAGCTCACTCCACCCACTATATTACTTACACCCTGCTATCATGATACCTTCCACTTCTCTCTCTATAAGTCCTACTCTCTCCCCTATTCCTTTCCATTCCATCACTTGTTCATCTTCTCCATCAACATCCTCTACTTCTTTCTTGTACCCATTTCTGGTTTCTTTTAAAGTCTCAAACTTTTCTTCTCGTAAACCAAAACCCATTGATCTTTCTTGCAAGCAAAACTGCTTTACTGAGTTTCAGAGGCTAAAAAAGGGTGAAAGAAATAAAGGGTGTTTTCTTGTTAGAGCTAAAAGCAATAACGATATGGCTATTAGTGAGGTTAGAGAAGAAGACGAAGAGAATCCTCCTCCTTTCCTTGACTACGATACCATTTCAAGGCCTAGACGCATTGCTCTTTTTGTTGAGCCTTCTCCATTTGCGTGAGTCCTTATTACGCTGTTGAATTTTACAAGTTCTTGGAAAATTATGGGCTTAATGCTAGTTTCTTGCATTGTATGATGAATTCTTGGATCTGTGACTAAACGTTGACATGGAGTCTCTTTGATTGCTTTGTGTTTGATGAAATGATTGTGACAGTTTCAGGTTATAATTTCCATGCTGTTTTCCCGTTTATATCTGCTAATTCTCTTCTATGTAATACTGCATAGCTGTTTGATGACTGAAATTTTTTTTATCTTTAGTTGCTATTGCTTGTTTGATTATTAGGACATGGCCTCTGCTTACTGGCAATGGTGTGAAGTTTGGATCTAACTAGGTGTTATTTACAAAGTTCCATTGTCTCGGTTGATTAAATTATGCATCTGTGTTTTATGGCTTCTGTTTGACGGCTTATTAATTTGTTTAGTGTGTATGAAGCTCATCATTTCTTGGAAGTTGGAAGTGCTTGATTAGTTTATTTCACCATATGGTGCATTTTGTCAGTGATTCCAATCTTCACTATTTTTTTTGGTTGGATGCTATTCCATCATAAATTCCAAATTCATTACTCTCTAAAGACTATATAGTGAAATTGGTTTAAGTTTCCTCTCTGGAAGGCTTTTTTTTGTTTGCACTGGAATTTATATTTACTATTCTTTGTATGAAAAAGATTTAGGGATTGAATCTTAGTAGAAGTTAGTCATAGAAGTTCCAAAGCTAAAACTTTTCATCGTGTTAAGAAGGCCAGTGGCAAGTGTGTCATGGTAGCAGATATAATTCTTATGGTTTTTGATGCTTATATATTTAGTGACACTTGGCTTTGGGGCATTATCCAATTGGATTGTAAGTATTTTGTTTTGTAATCTCCATTATATGGTGAACTATTGATTGTCTGCACCTGGATTTAGCTTTCGAGAAAGTAAAACCAGATATCTCTTCGTGTTTTTTGTTTGTCACCTTGTCTCCACATTTTTTAAGTTTCATGCTTCAGCTGGCACAACGGATAGCATCATCAAAATGTTTCATATACTAACATGTTTATCAGCATATATATACATGATTTTTTTTTTGTCCATATTTTCTTGATGCTCATATACTAATGTGTTTATCAGCATAAATATAATCATTAAGCGGCATCCTGTTATTGTTTTTGTTTTCTTCATTGTTTACTATTAGTTAAGAGTGAATAGTGGGAACTTATTGAATACCATCTATTTCCTTTTATTTTGCAGATATGTATCAGGTTATAAAAACAGGTTCCAGAATTTCATCAAATATTTACGGGAAATGGGGGATGAGGTAATTTACAATACTTTGACTTTTTTGGTGCATGAGTATAGTTTTATTTTGTTTTTTCTTTTCCATGCATACTGATGAGGCTTATTAGCTTGAGTGTATGAACGAGGACCATTGTGCTTGCTCACCCATTTTATATCAGAAAACCTATTTCTCCAGTCGTTATTTTGATTTGGGTTACCAATGGTACTTTAAATTTTGAAACCTTTGAGCACAATTCAAAAGCAAACAGAGTTAAATCAACAAAGTTTTTGATAAAGCTTCTTATCATCTTTCTTTTTGTTAATTCCAGCGTAACTGGCTCAGCTTGTTTAAAGCTGCTAGCTGCAAAACATCAATTTTGCTCCCTTTTTTTTCTCATCTTATTTTAGGTAATGATGCTATCACATCATAAAACTAACAAGTTGGCCTTGTAATGCTACTACATGTAGGTGATGGTAGTGACTACGCATGAAGGAGTACCACAGGAGTTTTATGGAGCAAAATTGATTGGATCACGGAGGTTGCTACAATATCTGATGATTACGTGCACTTTAACCGTAGCTTATAGATTATCATATCCTTACATGTGTACTATTGTGGTTTGCTTTAATTGTTTTCCTGGTTCAACTGCATAATCTAGGAACCAGAGTGTTTTTTCAACTTGATCAAAAGCATTGATTTTAAAAAATAAGATTCCTCTCATGGTTCTTAAACTATTTCCCTCTTTACAGCTTCCCCTGCCCTTGGTATCAGAAGGTGCCCCTCTCTCTAGCACTTAGTCCAAGAATAATTTCAGAGGTTGCACGGTTTAAGCCTGACATAATACATGCATCATCACCTGGGATAATGGTGAGATTTGCCTTTGAAGCAAACAATCTTCATTATATATTGGTTATGCAAGACTGACAGTCAGTCTTGTACTGCAGGTTTTTGGTGCACTTGCCATTGCAAAACTGTTGTGTGTCCCCATAGTAATGTCTTATCACACTCATGTCCCTGTGTGAGTTTTATTCTCCTATGACCTTTCTAACAGTGTGCTTCCACATGTTTTTGCTGCAGCTTCAAATTCTTATGCGACATTTCCTTTGATATGTCAATTGGTTTTTAGCAGAGTTTAATTCTTTGTATTCATTTGCAGATACATCCCAAGGTACACTTTTAGTTGGCTTGTGAAACCCATGTGGATGATCTTAAGTATGTATTATACATTCATAGTACAACAAATTCTGCAGGCTGAAAATTACCAAGTCAATAATGACCTTTGTTTTCTCCTTTCCATCAGAATTTCTTCACAGAGCCGCTGATCTAACTCTAGTGCCATCAGCTGCTATTGGGAGGGATCTTGAAGCAGCCAGGGTGACAGGAGGTGAACATAAACATCTCATTCCTGATCTCATAGCTTTTAACATTTCCTTATGCCAATTTTCATTCATAATGTGCTTTATTCCCAAAATTAATTCCATGAAAATGTTGCCTCTGCATCTATGCAGCTGTGTTTTAAATTGATTGTTATTGCTTGTTTACAGCTAATAAGATTCGTCTTTGGAATAAGGGTGTTGATTCTGAAAGTTTCCACCCTCGTTTCCGCTCTAATGAAATGCGAATGAGATTAAGGTAAAGGCCATCCTCTCATCCTTTACACGTATTTCATTATGCTAGGAATCAGGAATATATCTGTCATATATTTTTGGTCTAAACAGCAATGGTGAGCCTGAAAAACCATTGATAGTCAATGTTGGACGACTTGGAGTTGAGAAGAGTTTGGATTTTCTCAAAAGGTATTACATGATCCCCTTTCACTTCTTTATTTATTCGCATGTTTTTCTCCATTCATTTTGATGAATGAAAATATTAATTTGTTTTCCTAAATCAGTAGATGCCAAACTCAATGCAATTTCCATGTTAGGCCTACCATTTCTTAAAAGTTCAAATATGAAAGTACTGGTAGAGCTTACTCAATAAGCTTTGTTCTCATATACTGTGCTAAATTATTAAATGAAGTGTCTGAAAGCTTTTGCTGCAGTTGCTCTCGTGGACATTTTACTTGAAAGTTGATGTGCATAACCAATAAGGGTTTTGTTGCGATACTTCAGTACTTTTTAATTGTTATTTGCAGTATTTTGAAATGGAATTCTTCTGCTACACTATCATAATTCCCTGTCCCATTTTGTACTGAGGGAGTCATATTTCTGCTCTCTATTCTTCCTAATGTATGACTTGATTGCTTTAATGTTTACCCATTTAGTTCTTACCACCTTTGATCCTGAACAAAAAAGTAGTGCTATCATTTGCCGGTAATGAATTTGATTTAACAGGGTCATGGATAGGCTTCCGGGAGCAAGGATTGCCTTTATTGGGGATGGACCATATAGGTACTGCATTCTGAAACTTCTCGATTAGTTCAAAGGAAGTAAAGACTTTATTATGATTCATGACCCTCACAAGCTTCAAATGTTAGATTTTTACAATCTGAAATGTCACCAATGTTATTTTTCAAAATGATACTTTTTAAGCCAAAACTTAACTTTCCCATTTCAACTAGACAATGAAATTCATATTTACCGCTGTAAAAAAGGTTGTTTAGAAATCCCCAGTATCTTACTTTAGGAAACATGGATTTTTTATTTTCAGGGAGGAGCTGGAAAAGATGTTTACTGGCATCCCTGCTGTATTTACTGGGATGTTGGGAGGTGAAGAACTCTCTCAGGCATACGCCAGTGGGGATGTATTTGTGATGCCTTCAGAATCAGAGACACTTGGTCTTGTTGTTTTGGAGGCCATGTCATCAGGGATTCCTGTCGTGGCAGCTCGTGCTGGGGGGATACCAGATATAATTCCTCCAGAACAGGATGGCAAAACTGGGTTTCTCTTCAATCCAGGAGATCTTGATGACTGCTTGAGCAAGTTAGAGCCTTTGTTGGATAACCAAGAACTGAGAGAAACAATGGGCAAGGCAGCACGCCATGATATGGAGAAGTATGACTGGAAGGCAGCGACTAAGAAAATACGGAATGAACAATACAATGCTGCAATTTGGTTCTGGCGCAAGAAGAGAGCCCAGCTATTGAGACCTATCCAGTGGCTAGTAAAACGTCTCTTCCCATCTCCACAAGTTTAACTGCAGGTGATGAAAGTTCGTCTAAGAGGTTGTCTTTGAAAAGGTAAATTAATGGGAAGAAAAAGGATTTTATTTTTTATTTTTTTATAACCATCTTGCTGTAGTTCTTGTCGTGACAATCAATTAAATTACCATGTGCTCTGTTAAATTTCGATAGAAATTAATTGGGTTTTAGGGTCAAAGATTTGATTGTCTTTATTATTTGATTATTTATTTATTTGTTATTAGTTAATAACAAAAGGTATTTTCTCTCACATCCTTAAACTCTAACAGGTGGTGTTGTAATATTTAGAACTTGAACTTCATGTTGAAAATTAATCGCTAGATTGAAGAAAGCTGCAAGTGAGAAAATGGCAGTATCTTTTGGTGGTACGAGGAATATAGGAGATTGGCAAACAAATGGGAGTGAACGAGCTTATATTTTACTTGATTAGATCCAAACTCCAAGTCACATCACCTTATCCTCTCAACACTCTCCTCCGCATGACTAAATCATTCCTGTTTTAATTTCTTTCTTCTTCCTTCTCAGTTTATTTCTATTCTGGTTCTCTCTTGGTTCTCTCTAATTTAATCTCTCTAAATAATTCATAGGGGGCTGGGAGGATAGACGGAGATGGAGATATAATTTCCATATTTTGCGTTGCATGATAATTGAAGAGCAAAGGTGGTTTTTTTTTTTTTTATTTAATCATTTTGGTTTTTAATTTTATTTGGTACTGTCGAATTTTTTTTGTCATTTATATTTTACTCAATTTAAATTGAAATTTATTAAAATGAGTTCATTTGAAATATATTTGGGATAATATTATATTAAATTTTGTTTAATTTTTACTTTGTTTTTAAATAAAATTATACTGTTCTTTTTATGGTACATTTCATTATTTTTTTTCCTTCAATTTTATTCAATTTCTTTCTTGTGGATGCTTATTTTAGTATTGTAATTAAATAAAAAACATGTACTAAAAACTTTATTCAAAATATCATTGTTTTAATATTTTAAAAAATAAATGGAAATGACATTCTTTTCCTTAAATTTATATTAAAATTCATTAAAATGAATTAAGTAAAGATATATTTAGGATATTATTTTGATAAATTACCATTCAATTTTTATTTTGTTTTCAAATCATATTATAGTATTCTTTTTATAATTGTCTCAAAGTGACGAAAACATTACTCTTCAAAATTATAGTATTCTTTTTATAATTGTCATAAAGGGATCTGCCATCTTCTTTTATTTCTTACATATGTTTATGCTAAATATTTCATTGACAAACTAAGCTACCACAAAATACTTTGGTTCTTTCAGAAAAGCGATGAAGAAACTGCCATTTACTAACTAGCCTTTAGTTTCTTAAACAAGATGAATTGACAGATTTGGCATGAACGATGAAGAACACAAGCTGGAACTCGCTTTTGTTTTGTTTTTTTTTTAAAAAAAAAAAAAAACTCAAAACCTTATTGTTGGACATGGACTGTCCACCCTTGTAACACTAGATCTTTTATTCAATTTCTCCTTTAGGTTTAAAGGTTTTTATTTTTCCTCACAGAAACTAAAAGCTACAACATATGTGGCTATCTTTTTTCTTTTCTCAAAAAAAAAAAAAAAAACACCTGAAGCCAGTATGACAATAAAAGGAAAAGCTTCAAACTGCATGTTCTTGGTTTGGAGAATAAAACTGTTTTTATTTGATAAATAAGGGAGATATTTTCTGCCATTCTTGGCATTTTGATGGAGGAGAACATGCTGTCAAAACTGCTTCCTCAAGCAGGTGTCTTTCAACAACTCCTTCAAGTATTATCTCAGTAATATATGTAAGCAAGACATGACTGCAAAACAAAATCTTAGACAGTAACCATAAGAAAATTCTGCCAATGTTTAAGCTTCATATTTGACAATTTCGATTGCTTTTTTATGAATCAGTTTCGTGCTAAGGGGAGAGGAGAAAAGGATGCCATTTGCACCCTACAAATTGCAGATGACAAGTGCAGAAAGTGTTGAACACAAGATAACGATAGAGAATCATACCTGATGTCGATTTTTGGACCTTCCCCCCTTTCCTTCCCCTTTTCTTGTTTCCTCTTTATCTTCTTTACAATGTTAGTTTACTCCTGCAGTTAAGTCCCTAACTAGTTGAACACTTGTTCAATCTTGAAGAACAAACCATACGATGCATCATTCATCCCTTTTGATTATTACTATTATTATTTTTAAAATGGAATGACGTTGTTTTGGGATAATTTCATTCGGGTTCTTGAATTTCAGCGCTTTTTCAATTACAATCCTTGGTTTCAAGAATTCTCAATTTGGATCCCAATTGCTCTTTTAACTTCAAATTCCTTTCAATTTAGTCCCTAATCCTCTATGATTTTCATCCTCAACTTTGGTTGTTTTTTCTATTTTGGTCCTTTCCCATCCAATTTGTGCAATTAATACCCCCTAATTGTTCCTTAAAATCATTTTTAACCTTTTTTGTAACTGCTCTGGCCAGTCCTTAATTTTTGAAAAATTATTATTCGATTAATTTTATTGCTAATTGTGTTTTTTTTATTCTTTTTTTTTTTGTGATTTTGGTTGTTTTTAACAATTGCTTAATTTTTTTTTTTTTTTTTGTGATTGTGGTTGTTTTTAACAATTGTCTTAAAAAAAAAGAAATACCAAATTTCATATGAAAAAATCTTTGTGCAATTGTTTTTTATTCTAAAGGTAAAAAATGGGTTATGACAATAATATTATAAAAAAAAATTTCTATACAAATATTAATAAATTTATTTTCTATTTTTTTCTTAGATTCTATTCAATCTTTTTTATATGAAAGTTTATTTTTAGTATCATATAATTGAATGAAAAATAAATTTAAAAATTATTAAATTTAAAAAAGCTTATAATTTAGGCCATGAATTTTGATACTTACCCTGAATTTATCCACATTGATCAACAACATTGTTGTCTATATATATAAAGGGTAAAACAATGCCATCTTGAAATATTTCTTTTTAAATTCAAATCCATGTCGAACAAGCCAACTGAATTGGGTTGGAACATGCTAGGGTAACCAAGTTATATTAGGTTAGCTCCAATCCGATTTAATTTAAAGTCTAACCCATGCAAGGGCTTGGTCTGTCATGTTTTCAACTTTTAATTGATATTCATTAAAATAAGTTTATTTAAAAAAATTTACTTTACTTTTGAATAATATTATAATAATTTTTTTTTTGCTAATATTAGTAAACATTCTTTTTGTATAAACATTCATCATATATTTTTTTGAAAATTTTATTCGATCACTTTCAAATGCGTGTCTATTTTTATTATTATATTATTAAATAAACTATTGATTCTAAACAAGCAATGTTATTAAACTTAACCATGTCAATGACCCATGTAACAAATTTAGTAAGTTAACTCTAATTGCTTTGAATCAATCAAAAAATGTTATCATCTTAAAACCTAAATGTTAAAACAACAACATACTGATAATTTTTTTAATCAAATTAAATTTTTATCAGGTTGAATTTGTTATATTTAGATTTGTCAGATCAAACATGTAATATTAGACCAATTATAATATAATTTAATTTAAAACTCGGATAAAACAAAGGGGTCAAACAATGAGCCATGTTGAGGGTCAAGGTCAAGTTAATAAGAATAAAAAGAGTTATAGTAGCAAATTATTTTAATTCAAATGAATTTGAATTAGTAGTTTTTCTAATATACAATTAAATAAAAAATTGAATAGCTCCATTTGTCACAACATCATGTTTCTTTATTTACTTTTATATGTCAACTTCTTAATTTAATCTTTAGTTATCAATAACAAATTTTTTTAATATTTAATAGAGCATATAATTATTGATAAATGCATACATTAAATTTTAAATTCACCATTGAAAGTTTTCTTGGTTTAAAAAGAAGTTAACAACTCCTACATATTTTTTTTACATTAAAAATAATTTTTTAACTGATCCACAATGAAGTTTAGATAAGTTATCCAATTCTTTAATACTTGTAACTTATAATCCTTTAAATATGTGTGGGCAAATTGATTGATTCTATTTTTATTTTTTAAAAAAAACCAAAACAGTACTCAAATTTTTTTCTCATCTCTGTCCTTCCATAGTAAATAGTTTATAGGATCGTCTCCATGTAATTTCTTTTATCACATTAAATTTTATACATTTTTTTTAACAAAAAAGGAATTTGAATTTGAATTTTTTTTAGAAAAAAATATTAATATGAATTATAGAGGAAGAGGAAACACTAGTATAAATTGAAATGCATAAATTTTACTAGTAAACTCATACTAGTTAATGGCTCTCTAACAAGTACTGTAGTCTTATAAAAACTATTGTAGTAAAAAAAAAATAACAATCCTTTAACCTTAAGTGAAATTTGTTAAGAAATATAAAGTTATTTTGTTTTATTATTTATTAAGAATATAACAGTTTTTACAAAAAAAATTTTTGTTTTATTATTTATTAAGAATATAATAGTTTTTACAATTTTTTTTTTAGTTTTTTATGTTTAGCCTACATATAATCTTTTTATAATTATGTTAAATCTATTCCGTTTAATTATTTTAATTGAAATATGTAATATCAATGAAACCCTAATCTTCTTCTTTCTTATTTTTGCATTTTTTTTATTTACTTGGATTATTTAACATGGTATCACAACATGTTTTTTTTTTGTGTTAAGTGATTGAAAATTTTGAAAGGGTATTCATTTAGTTTCTACAATTTGATAGTTTGTTTTGTTTTTGTTTCTGTAATTTAGTATTTTGTTTTTCTTTTTCTTGCGTTCTAGTTTTCTTTATTCGTTGATTATGAATTCTAAAAAAGATAAATCAGTCTATGAATATGTGGTTGGATGAAAAAAAATTATTTGTATTGGAATTATGTGATGAGAATTGTTTTTAAGGATAAAAGGATGTAAGAACATGTTAGTAGAATTTCTGTGAAACTTAACAATGCTAATGAGAGTTATGTTGCCTTAATAGATACTTAAGAAGAAAATAATGCAAAAATTATTACCTAAATTAACAATTCTATTTAGCATTCTATAGATACATAGTTTGTGAAGCATGAGAGAACAATGGAGGTTTAAAATCATCTACAAAAGTTATTCACCCAATCAAATTTTATAAAGCAATACCAATTGAAGAATATATACAGGCTCTTCACCAGAAAAATATAAGTATTCAGGAATTTTATTTTATTATGATAAATTTTTTAGATCAATTGACTCTTATAGAATTAAAGATATGTGGTGCTTATATTGCTCGTAGAGAGCAGCAATTATTGGTACGACTTTTAACGG